CTCCGTTCTTTAACAATTTTGTTACTACACTTAAACGTCTGTGTTCAGAAGCATAATGTATCGGTAGCCGACCATCTCCATCCGGAACGTTAACTTTCGCACCTTTCCGTAACAGAAAATCTACTATATCTGGATCTCCACGTTTACAAGCATAATGTATCGGCAAACGGCTATATTCATCTGGATCATTCATTTTCGCTCCTTTTCGTATTAGTGATTTTATGATATTTGGATGCCATTTTTGACACGCGTACTGAATCAGCAGCTGGCCATTTCTAACCAGGATATCGTCTTCCACATTTTTGTCTTGCAAAAATAATATTATATGATATCCGTCAAAGGAGTTTTTGCAAGCGTAGTGCATCGGTAGCTGATCATTACAGTCTGGAACATTCAGTTTCGCACCGTTCTTTGCCAGTAATTCTACTATATACAGATTTCCGTGTTCACACGCATAATGGATGGGTAACCGACCATTTCCATCTGGAACGTCAATTTTTGCACCATTGGTTAACAGTAATTCTACCACATTTAAGCCTCCATGTTCACAAGCATAATGTATAGGCAGTCGTCCATCTTTATCCGTAACATTCATTGAAGCACAATTTTTTTGCAAAAATAATATTATATACTTTCCCTCGCCGTAATTTTTGCAGGCGTAGTGCATCGGCAGCTGATTGTTTTTGTCCGGAACGTCCACTTTCGAACCGTTCGATACCAATAATTCTACTATACTTAAAAGTCCGTGTTCACAAGCATAATGTATAGGGAGACGGCCGTCTTCATCTGGAACGTCAACTTTTGCACCATTTTTCAAGAGCAATTTTACTACATCTAAATCTCCATGTTTACAAGCGTAGTGTATTGGCAGCGTTTCATCTCCGTCAGGAATATCCACTTTCGCACCATACCTTACCAGTAACGTTACAATATTTGTATCCCCTATTTGACACGCGTAGTGAATCGGCAGCCGACCGTCTCCATCCGAAACGTTGATTTTCGCCTCATTCGTTAACAATAGTTCCACTATACTTAAAAGTGAGTGTTTACAAGCATAATGTATTGGCAGCCGGTCATCTCCGTCCGGAATATTTACTTTCGCACCGTTCTTTACTAGTAGTTTTATAATATTTATGTGCCGATTTTGACACGCATATTGAATCGGCAGCCAGTCATTTCCATCCGGAATGTCAACTTTCGCGCCACTGGTTAACAGTAATTCAACTACATCTAAGTCTCCACGTTTGCAAGCGTAATGTATCGGCAGCCGGCCATCCTCATCTGGAACGTCAATTTTCGCACCATGGGTTAACAATAGTTGTATTATACTTAAACGTTCTTGTTTACAAGCGTAATGCATTGGCAGAGCGCCATCTCCACCCGGAACGTCAACTCGTGCACCAGTCGTTAACAATAATTTTACTACATCTAAATCTCGATGTTTACAAGCACAATGTATCGGCAACTCACCACCTCTATGGGGAACATTCACTTTCGCACCGTTCCTCACTGGAAGTTCTATAATATTTTTGTGCCATTTTTGACACGCATACTGAATTGGCAGCCGGCCACTTCCATCTGGAATGTCAACTTTGGCACTATTGGTTAACAATAATTCAACTACACTTAAATCTCCATGTTTACAAGCGTAATGTATGGGTATCCGGCCAACTCCATCCGGAACATCAACGTTCGCACCATGGGCATGGGTTAACAGTAGTTGTATTATACTTAAACGTCCTTGTTTACAAGCGTAGTGTATCGGCAGCCGTCCCTCTCTATCCCGAGCGTCAACTTTCGCACCATTCTTTAACAGTAATTCTGTTATATCGAAATTTCCATGTTCACAAGCATAATGTATCGGAAATCGGGCACTGGCGTCTGGAACGTCCAATTTCGCACCATTCTTTAACAGTAATTCTATTACATTTAAATCTCCAAGTTTACAAGCATAATGTATCGGGAGTCGTCCATCTCCGTCCGGAACATCCAAGTGCGCACCTTTTTGTATCAAAAACAAAATTTTTATATAATTTTCCCCTCGATAATTTTCGCAAGCATAATGTATCGGCAGTCGGCCATCTCCATCCGGATCATTCACTTTCTCACCATTCGTTACCAACATCTCTATTTCCTCTAAATCTCCATGTTCACAAGCATGATGAAGCGGCAATCTACCGTCTTTATCTAACACGTCTATTTGCACTATCACTTTCACTATATCAAAATGCCGTCTCGCAATTGCCAATTGTATCGGACGTTTTCCGTTGTTATCCTGATCGTTCAAGTTAGCTTCTTTGACAATTAACGAACGTAGAGTCTTAGTTAATTTTTTTTCACACGCATAGTGCGCTAGCGACTGACCTCTCGAATTTACCACATCGATTCTAAACTCCGGCAAACCTAACGCAAAACTCAATATTTCGTCAATTTCCGAATCCAAAATGAAAAGTTCTTCTACACAATCCCATTCGGAGTGATTTTTTTCATCAGCAAGTAGTTTTTTTAATATTCGGGCTGACTTGTTAAAAAAAGCCAAAGCTAAAACACTTCTTGAACTAATATTACTATATGTATTTTTTAAAGCAGTCGAATTTTCAATACATTCAAAAATCATTGGAAAATCAAACCTAATTGCATAATATAAAACTGCCACTAAAAAATCTTCAGCGAACTCATTCCCGTCATACAATGGAATCAAAAATGGTAAGAAAACCATCAATTTTTTAAAACAGACATTACCTGATGTGTTGAATTTATAAAATTTTGGACCTACATCACAATATTTTAATGTTCTACTGACTTCTTTGTTGTTATTAATTATCCATTTATGGTTAAAACTGTCGTCTTTCAGAAGAATGTTGTTTTTAACAAGTGGATAATTTTTATTCCACGCGCAAGCTAATTCCAAAATGTCGCGACCAATCACATCTTTTTCAAGTAAATCAGAATCACTGAACTCTCCTAGAATTGAAAGATTTTTATATATAACGCCTACTAGACATTTAGAATTCCGCGACAGCATTAAATCTAAAAAGAATCGAATGTTTCTGTAACGACTGTTAGAAATAAAATTTTTGTCACGTGCTTTGGAAGTTTCGTATTCAAATAGGTACAACGCTGCAAAATATTCACCGTAGGAATTGTGAACGAATTCAGCATCAAATTTAGATATAACGCGCGTTATAAATCCCACGTCGTCTCCTTCGTTTTTAATTTTTTTTAGAAAATTCTTAGTCATATTGTCATAACCGAACAACGCATTTTTAATTTTGCTTCTAAACGAGTTAAAAATGTAATAACGTGCAGCTAAAATTTTATAATGCTTTATTTTAGCATTCTTTTCAGTTTCGAAATTGTGATTATTTTGTTCATTTCCTAATGCAATTCCATTTTTATCCTTGTATAAAACGTAAAATTTTTCTTCAACGAAATGTTCGTACAGATCAAGAACAGTGAAAATACCGTCTAACAAATGTAGATATTTGTCTCTGTCTTTTAAAAACAACTCTGTAAGCATATAAATTTGTAGAGGAATACCCAAAATTTCATAATTTGGAAAAGCCAGTACATTTTTTTTTATTTGATTGAAAGTTTCATTCAGCTCGTTTTCGGTAATCTGCAAACGAGATTTAATGTATTCTCGTTGTTCTTCATCATTAAACTGCTTTATATTTCGCGCAAACGTACCTAACTTGTGTTCTAACATATCTTTTAAGTTGTTTCGAGAAGTTATCCATTGCTTCACACCTTTCTCCGAAAGGGATTTGACTAGTGTTAAAATGGAAGCTTGAGTGGTATCAGACGCTTCATCGAGTCCATCCCATATTAGTTGTATTTGGTTTTGTTCCAACATTGACTTCAACACATTTTGGTGGCACGGGTTTGTACATTCCTTAAAACTATCTTCTAGGATATATTTTAAAAAAATTTTCATGTTTGATCCATGTTTCCTAAAGTGTAAGGCATGATTTCTAGTGTAAATTAAAATGATCCACTTTGTCGAAGAACTGTTATTTTTTAAACTCTTCATCAATGTGCTTTTTCCCATACCAGGATCGGCACAGATGATGTTGACGTTTTGCCAAGAATGACTAAAATATTGACTTTCAGGTGTAGTGTATTCCATAAATTTACTTTGTAGCCGAAATCGCCCAAGTTTGTCAATGTGTCTTTCTTTGGGTCCATAATTCTCACTTTCTATCCATTCCAAATGATGATTGTCTAAATATCTCAAGTGGTGAAATTGCATTTTTGAATTTTTTTCGCACAATGCAGAAAATTTTTCCTGTGAAACATCGTTTTCACAAATATAGATCTTTTGTTCATGATTTGTGTTCTGGATGAGATCAACGTCATTTACTTCGTTGATTATTGATTTTGGTAACAATCGTTTGACAGAATTGACATCTGTTACGCAATCTACCAACACAATTGTATTTTCACCAACATTTTCCAAGAATTTAACATCTATTAAAATTTTCGTCAACTTTCTTTCGATATGACTGGGTGGAAGTGTATCTTTGTATTTTCCAATCAGCAATGGAGCTTCCAACATTTCAACTAAATCATCTGTAGTGATGTTGTCTTCGCAGATTTCTAGCAAGTATTTTAACTTAACGTCTTTTTGACCTTGCAATGAGTAGGTAAAATTTGCTAGGAGTTCTTTATAGAACTGTACTTCTTTCTTTAAATCGGCCAATTTTTGAAACAGGTGTGTTTGTTGTTGACCAGCTGTATTGTTATCAGTATTATTTCTAACACTGTCAATAAACGTTTCTCGATTATCTAGTATAATTAGATTTTGAACTTGACATATTTTTATTGCTTGATAAACTTGTGGACTTCCTTCAACCACCAAAGGACTTTTTCCCAGTAGCCACAGGAGCTTCGATACTTTTGTTGCGTCCTTATCGTACAAGGTTTCCTGTTTTTCTATTCCGTCTTCTGTTAATTGGTACATGTTATTAGTTTTAACCGTTTCTTCCTAATCATCTATACCGTCGATAGCATTTGACCACACTGATTCGAGTTTGTCGAAATTGTTACTATTTATAACAGTCAAGTCAAATTTTGAAACAGCTTTTCTAAAAATGTTTCTTTTGGCGTCCACTGGTCTATCAGCAACAAAAGATAATGGTTTGATAGAAGGTGTAAGTACGCAAAGGGTTATCATGTATTTCATCCACGTTTTATTCAATTTACTCTTTTTCCCTTCTTTCATGCTCCACTGCGTTATGAAACGTAGATACTCCCGAAAAACGGTCTCGTTGCTTTTGAAATAAGTTTTGAACATTTGAAGTGTACACATTTCTAGTTCTCTAACATCTGTTTGACCAGTGTACAGATATAAATTTTTAAAGAAAGATCCATATTCCTTGAAATTAGCCTCATTTTCTTCGAATTTGTGACACTGTCCTCCCAGTTCTGTACTACGAGTACTTAGCAAGTTGTCTTGCTCACATAGCGTCAATTTGCCAAATTTAAACCTAAATCTATGTGCTCATCATTTAGCTTAGAATTGGTAAACAAAACCATCTTCATACACAGTTCAGACAACTTCGGCTCATTTTTAAAATTTTCATAATACTTCTCGAAGCTAAATAGTCCACTTGATGCGTTTAACTGCTGAATTTTTATTCCTCCTGTTTTGCTAACGTGTTTCAACTGAATAGCGAACGTTTCCGTGCGATCTTTGAATTTAATTTCAACTACAACGTCATCGAAAGACCCATATTCGCTGTCGTTCGAGGATAAATAAAATTTTTCCACATTGTCGTCAACTATTAATTTTAATACTAAATGAGCTATGTAGAGATGTTCGTAATCTCTACCTTTGTCGGTGGTACCACTTCTCTTCTTAAATTCCTGAAAATAAGGTTTAGTTAATTATTTCAACAAAATAATATAACTTTACTTTAATTTTTAATTTTTGTAAAGTTTAAAACGAAACTTTAAGATGCTAAGATAAGATAAATCCCACCACAGTTCACAGTCACAGCTAAATTAATTGAGGGTGGGGTGGCTTAATCTTCTATGTACTTGAACGACTACTTTATAGTATTTTTTTGATAACCTGTATAACTTAAAACAAATAAGTATATTGTAGATTTTTAACCACTGAGAGACAGGTTAAGGTTTTTGCTTTTCGTCAACAACAATTTTTTTTTCCGATTTGTCCCAATTTTTCACCATCCATATGGTACTGATCACATTAATTAATTAGTACCACTTTCAATAATCCATTGATTGTTTGGATTGGTTGTATGGCCTAAATTGCCACTAGTTGTTTAAACAGCACGATATGTTTTACCTTTTGATACTGAAATGTTGATAACCAAGCAAAATTTAAAGAGTGTTGTGATTTTGTACAAATTGAATATTGTTACGAAATAAACCCATACGCCGCCTAGGTACGACGCCTATGGGTTTCCTCGAGGGCTTTCTAGTATGAACCGCGGCTTTCGGGAACCATGATGATTTAAATAAGGACCATTTTCGGAAGCAAGTTTTTTTAGTCCAGTCAACGAGAGAACACTAGAGTCTAGGTCGAGTGGGAATTATTCTGTACATAATCGGGGTATAGTTAATCGAATAAATTAGTACTACTGAGAAATAAATCGTTTTTTAATTATTTTATTTATTTTTTTTTGTATTTACATATTCAAGCTTTAAACATTTTTGACGATTTGATAACTGAGTTGGAAGAAAGAAATCATTTAGAAGTTTTGCCTTTAAAGCAAAGACTGTTAAATTGTGAAAATTTTCAAAATAAGAATTTTAACCCAAATAATTAACACAAAGGAAAAATCTGAAATTAATAATTAATGAATAAAGAAAGAAATTAAATCTGTATTTTTGATTTTTCTAAATATGGAGGATGAAAAAAAAATGGCGCACTAACTCAACGGTACATTATTAACTTGACGTCCACTTATAAAACTAAATATCGATCTAGATAGTTATATTAAAAAAGGTAAAACATTTTTTAAGTTTTTCGTAATATGTATTATAAAATGAAGAATTTTTATATTTTGATAGTGACATTTTTGTTTTAATAGTTTTATCTTATGAAACATTTTGCAATTTAGCGTGCCGTCCCCGTTCGATCCCCGTTTCAGCGTCTTCGCCTCTCCAGGCGTGTCTTAGCGGCACTAGTAGGTCCAGGGCGCGACGCTGACGAACGCCGCAACCCCACTTGAGATATCGAAGAAATTCAAACCGACACCGTCACCGACCGATCCCCGGGTTACGTCGCAATGACTTCATTAACTTTTTGTTTAAGTATATGAGTTTATAACAGTAATGCCAATAATAACTCTACCGCGTTACCAGAATTTTAGTTAAATAAGATTAGTCGTTTTTGATTTAATATGTAAAATAATTTCCGTTATTCATTAATTTTTTTGAGTCACTCTGTATAAGTACTTTTTGAAAAATGCAGATGAGTCGATAAACCACAGTGTGGTATCATAATATTTTATACATTTTTGATTGGATTTTTTTCGCCAAAATTTTGAGATGAAGTCCAAAACTTTTTTGAAGTGATCAACAGATAAATTGTGATTAACGATTTACCATGCTTGCCAAAACCTTAATACGGTTGCAAGATTTTCGAGTATTCGGTTTACAGTTTCGAAGGTAAATTGTAAAATGTGGTTACATAGCTTTGGTTTTTTTTTAATTTTGATATTTAAATGTATGCAAAAGGCCGCAAAAATTTTCATTCTTTTCTAGAAAAGAATGGTTTGATAAAAGGTGTAAATACACTATGTTGTCACACACTTCATGATCGTTTTATTACATTTTTTCCCTCCTGCAGACATCAGTGGTTTATAAAATCTAAAGGGTGATCAAAAAGTTTTCAGATTAGAATTGGCCATGGAAATATTTGTCATGTCTTTGATTAAACTGTAAAAGTCATGCATAATCTTTTTGAAGGTTCGAAAGAGCTTTCAAAAAGGTTATGCATGACTTTTACAGTTTAATCAATGACATGACAAATATTTCCATGGCCAAGTTTAATCTGTAAACTTTTTGATCACTCGTTCCCGTTACATACTCGCGAAAAGTGGTTTCGTGGCTACCGATTTTTTTTTAAACATCCCTAGTATACACGTTTCAAGTTTGGTGACATTTGCTTAATAAGTATAGAATTATAAATTTTCAAAAAAAAAAATGTTTATAAATAACTTTTACTTCAAATTTGTGAAAATATACTCCCAATTTTGAAATACTTAGCAAACTGTCTTGTTTACGTTGCGTCAGTTTGCTAAATTTAAACCCATTTGTATGCTCATCGTTCAGTTTACAGTTGTTAATAAAACCATATTGGTAGACTGTTCAGATAAATTTGGTCCAGTCTTGAATTTTTCGTAATAATCATTTTTCAACTTTATGTGTTTAACTTTTAAATTTTTAATCTCGCTATTTTGCTAACGTATTTTAACTGGAAATTTTGACTACAGCGTCATCGAAAGATGACAAAAAATCTAAGCTAGTTAGGTAAAGACGTTGAAAGTTAGTGGTACAAGTTCTCTTCTTAAGCATCTCAAACTACTGTAAAATTGATTCATATATTTTTTTTGTAAATGAGTAATATGAAAAAAATTTTTTTTTCGAAGCGGTAATATGAACAAAACCATGTAACGGGTGTTCAAGTGAAAAATGACTCAGAGTAGGGGTTGGAATTTCATTTGACACAAACGGCATGAATATTCTTATAATATCCATTTGTCAGAAATAGCCTGTCGGCTGTTATGTGTATGTTATAAGTTATAAACAACGGGCGGAATAATGTCTCAGACGCTCAATCCAGTGCTGCCGCGTCGATACTTTGATTACAAATATATTTTTCTTTTGGAATATATCAACATAATATAACATTTCAAGATCATAAATCTGTGTCCTCTGGTTGAAAAATTAATAAGGGCACCGAGTATTATTATTTGAAGTAATATAGTAATATAGAAGTCGTTTTTTTTACTAGCTGTAAACACTCCTAGAGACGCACTGGCTACGACCTTGTGGACCAGATCAAAGCGTCCCCGCTACTCGCCGTAAAACACACCTTGCTTCAAGGGGGGAATTGCATCCGTAAGATAAATTACCGCGTACTGGTTATAAGAATAGACATGCCGCTTGTCTCAAATGAAATTCCAACGCCTATTCTGAGTGTTTTTTTCATAGAAAACCCGTTAGTTTTTTACTTCAACGAGGGTCACACATCATTTTTAACACGTGTTATAATAATAGTCTAGTGCAATGAAGATGACAGAGAAAAAGTTTCAATAGCATAGTTCTTTCTCACCAGTTTTGAATTTTGCTAGTGCTGTTGACTGTGAACGCATACTAGTTTAAATCGTTGCCTATATTGTCAGAACCATTTTTTTTAATTCGGTTTATAGCTCACGCTCGAGAAAAAATAGAATTATTTATGTTGTTCTGGAACGTAAAAGTATTGTCAGTATTTCAGTGATACCTGATAATGTGTAGACTGATCGGCTTTTGAATAAAAAACAAACACTTGTATGTAACTTACCGAGGAAGAATTTTTAGGCACTGTGTCCCGTCCATCGATATTTGTTCTATTCGGAGTCTGTAAATGTCGTCACAAATAATAAATTCATCATAAAATATGTGTACCACTTACCGTTGTCATGTTTAACTACAGTAAAAAATAATGGTTTTGCAACTGATACTTAAAATGACAGTGATACAACTTCAGTTGTTATGAACTTATTATTGTTATTAACTTGATTATTCAGTTTGATAATGACTAATTAGCAGGGTTTTGTGGAGACACACGTCACGTGTAATTCCAGTCAGTGGAAGCAACTTCAAGTTATCTACGATACTGAGTTCCGCAAAGTGTCGGCGAGGTTGTGGTCTCGCAGTCGTCATTGTATTCGAGCCCCGGCAATTTGAATTAGAACAAAAAAAAAAAAAGAAAAAAGCAAGTATGTGGAATGTCAGGTGTGGGATTCGACTCCGAAGTCCGATGTGTTAATTGCTGGGTCAACCTGACTTCGTACTTATCAAAGAAAACTATTAATTTTTTCTGTATTGCGTAACGATAACATGATAGTCCGCGGTAATCAGAAGGAAGTCCTTTTTTGGTTATGATTCATTTGAAACTAAATACACGATGATGATTTCAACATTTTAAATACGATCTTTTACAAGACAGTAATAATAATTACGCATGTTTTCTTATTTTAGGAAAAACGTTTTTCAAATTTTTTACGATTAGTGGTACGAATGATGCATACAGACAGGCCGATTCAGCGTAAATGGTGAATCTGACTAACCCGAAAATACATTGATTCATAGTAGAATTTAAATAATATCATGAATCCAAGTTTGCATTCTTGTCACTGTCAGTTCCAAAACATTTCATTGTTCGGCTACTTCGGCAAAAACCAACGAGAAGATGTAGAGAATACAAAATTTACTTTATTACCTTTAAGAATGAATTCAGGTGATACTGTATTCATTACTCATAAAAAACCACTAGAGCCATATTCAAAGATATTAAAATAATGTCATATTTTTGCCAGGATAGTAAGGAAAGAAGGAAAGGGGAAATTACTGAGCAAAATAAATAGATAATAAGAAATAAAAGCCAATATATACCTGTATATATTGGCTTTTATTTCTAAATCTCTATTTATTTTGTTCATTTTACCAGTTCACGCCTGAATATTTGTGCATAGGCGACCCACTTTGCGTTTTATAAACAGCTTTGATAAGAATTTGCAGTGATACGATCGTATCATTCGCAAAAAGAGCAATTTTTTTAGAAGGTATTGCTTGTGGTAAATCATTAATATACAATAAGGATAATAGCGGGCCTAGTACAGAGCCTTGTGGAACTCCATAAAATATGGATAGTTTAGGGGATGCATTTTGATTTACATTTACACATTTTTGTCTATTGGTTAGATAAGATTTTACTAATTCAATGCTGTTTTTCTCAAATCCGTAATGAGTTCATTTTTTTAACCAAATTTCTAAAAAGCCTTAGACAAATCAAAACAGACTGCAAGTATAGTTGATAAATGAGTTCTAAAACCAAACTGAAATTCAGAATAAAGTTTATTTTTCTCAACATAGTTGTTCATCTGGCTTTTTAATAAATATTAAAGAAATTTTCCCAATGTAGGAACCAATGATACTGGTCTGTAATTATTCATATCGTTAACATCACCTTTTTGGTAAATCGGAATTACTTTTGGCATTTTGAAAATTGGAGGAAAAAGATTTTCAGCTATGCATTTATTGAAAATACTCCTCAGAGAGGTTATAATAACATTTGATAGTATTTTTATTATAGTTGAATTTATATCATATGTCTTTACTTTTAGAGTTGCGCAAAGAATTTATAGCTTTTCTCACATTATTGAAAGAAACAGAACTTAAAAAAGATTATCGGATACTGTGAATTGTGACGTGCAACTTTCAGATGCTATTGTAACTACTATTTTTTGGTAGAGATTTTATTAGATAGAAATCTGAAGCACTCAGACTGTCTGGATTTTTTTATCTCTTTTTTATTTTTGTTTATTATGTTTCACGTTGCCTTTTTGTTTGTTAGATGCTGATTTTATAATAGTATCATTAAATTCTTTTTTTGTCTTGATTAGTTCACGACGATACATATTCCGGAAATCTTTAAAAGCTTCATTACTTACGAGACAATTGCGACGTAAATTACCCAATAATTTCACCATTTTACGCATTTTTTTTTAATGTGAATTAAACCAATTATTGTTACGATTAGCCTGTGAATCATAAATTATTTTTTTCCGTATAGATAGACACAAATCAGTGCTATTTAAATTTTTATCCGAAAATTGTTGAGAAAGCACTTCGGCGCTGGTTTGTGAATTTCTTATAGATGACCAGTCCGTTGTCTCTATAACATTGTATATATAAATGAAACAAGTCCATTGCTGTCACAGGTCGATAGCAAACCTGACATTTCCTTGAGTTGACACTTTTTGTCGATGACGAAACAATACTCATACAAATTCTTGAATGATCATTGATCAGAAAGAAGCGGATCATGTACAGTGTACACCAACGAGAATTTGTCATTTGACATATTAGTAAAAATATTATCTAGATACGAGGTGCCTCTAGTGGGTTCGAAATTAGTTTGAAAAAGGTCAAAAGACAAAAATGTATTTATTAAAATTAAAGCCTGTCCCTCAGGGGTATTAAAGTGAACATTAAAGTCACCAGTAATAATAATTATAGTATTTTTTACAATTTTCTTCAGAAAAGATTCAAAAACGAAAAGTGTATAAAATGCGTAGACTCGATCTAACATCATTCAACTATTTTTTATGGGGATGCGTAAAAGTAAGAATATCCGCAACGCCGTTTGAAAATATGGTTGAGTTGCAAGAGCGAATTGGACAAGTGCGGCAGCCCATTGGTCCCGAAATGTTAAAACGCGTGAAATTTTATCAACAGAATTGAAGGTTATGGGTAGAGAGAGGGTGGTCACATTAACAATGCTGTTAAGGACATCTTGTGCTTTATTAGAAAATAACAACCATTGATTTAAAATGTGTTGTGTTTATGTGACAGTGACTGAGGTTTCAAAAAAAGAAAAGCAGTAATCTTAAATAAAAAAAAGTCTTTGACAAATCGTTTAATTCTACATTACAAACATTTGAGTTCATTATATTATACTTACAGTCTCAAAAATAATTACATTCTGCATAAACATGTTTCAAACCGCTGAAATAACTGGGCATTCGTCTACTCATTTTTAAAAATGGCTCTTAATATTTATAACCTTAAGTGTGCATATTGTTTTTTTTTAGTTTTAATTAAATTTACACTTGAAATTCAATAATTTTCGATGGTTGATTAAGGTTTTCTATGTTACAGTTCCCCACAATGGGTGTTGGTCATGTGCGCGCCGCGGTTAGTTACTTAGATTATAAGAGTTGTCATTGTTGGGTTGGCTTTTTCACATTTAATGTAAATTAAATTTAATAAATCTTTAAAAACGTATAACACAAGCTTGAAAAAGTATATAAAAAAAAATTAAGGCGCCTATTTAAATCTAGTAGTTAATGTGTGTTTATTGTTCATACAGTATTAAATTTCATTAGATCTCCATTTAACTGTCGATATTACGTTATGTGAATGTTTTTTTAACAAAAATCTTACTATTTCACACGTTTGAATCGACAATTGAGTATCTTCATCTAGAACGTCAACTTTTACACCATCTGTTAGCAGTAATTTCTAGGCTTTCGCACTTTTCTTTTCCAGTCGTTTTATTGTTTCCAAATGCCCATGTTTACGAGCATAATGAATCGGCAACAGACCATCTGCATCAGGAACATCCACTTTCGCACCTCTTTTTATCAAAAATAATACTATATGATATCCTCTCAAGTAATTCTTGCACGCGTAATGGATCGGCAGCCGACCACCTCCATCCGAAGTATTCACTTTCGCATTCTTCTTTAACACTAACTTTACTATATCTAAAGTTCCGCTTTCACAAGCATAATGCAGCGGTAGCCGACCATTTCCATCTCGAACATCCACTTTCGCACCGTTTTCTTGTAAAAATAAAATTATATTACATTCGTTAAAATAATTTCTGCACGCATAGTGCACTGGTAGCTGACCATCGTTGTCTGGATTATCCAATTTCGCTCCATTGGTTGCCAGTAATTTTACCATATTTAAACGTCCATGTGCACAAGCGTAATGTATCGGTCGTCGACCATTTCCATCCGGAACATCCATTTTTGCACCTTTTTCTCGCAAAAATAATACTATATTATATCCCTTCAAAGAATTTTGGCACGCGTAGTGCATGGGTAGTTGACCATTTTTGTCCGAAACATCCAATTTCGCCCCATATATTGTAAGTAATTCTACTATATCTAAGTTGCCGCGTTCACAAGCATAATGTATCGGCAGTCGTCCATTTTCATCTGGAACATCCACTTTCTCACCTTTTTTTCGCAAAAATAATATTATATTATACCCCTTCGAGCAATTTTTGCATGCATAGTGCATTGGTAGCCGACCATCTCTATCTGGATTATCCAATTTCGCTCCATTCGTTGCTAGTAATTTCACCATATTTAAATGTCCGTGTTCACAAGCACAATGAAGCGGCAGTCGACCATCTCCGTCCGGAACGTCAACTCTAGCACCATTCTTTAACAGTACGTCTACTATATTGAAATATCCTTGTTCACAAGCGTAATGGAGCGGCAACTGGCCATTTGCATCGGAAACATCCAATTTCACACCATTCTCTAACAGTACATCTACTATATCTAAATCTCCACGTTCACAAGCATAATGAAGCGGCAATCGACCATTTCCATCCGGAACATTAATTTTGGCACCATTTTTTACCAGTAATTCTATAATATTTTTGTGCCATTTTTGACACGCATAATGAATCGGTAGCGCACCCTTTTCGTCAGGAAGATTTAATTTTGCTCCATTCATTACCAGTAAGTTTACTTCATCTATATGTCCACGTTCACAAGCATAATGAAGGGGCAGCCGGCCGTCTTTATCCAAAACGTCGATTTGCGCTATTAGTTTTACTATATGTAAATGCCCTTCTTCATGTGCAATATGTATTGGACGTTTTCCGTTTCTATCCTGACCATTCATTTTCGCTTTTTTGAGAACTAATGAACGTAACATTGTCACGGTTGAGTTTTGACTTCCGTGATAAGCCACATTTCTTCTCTCCTTCGCCTCTTCATGTACGGTAAAGCGCGCCTGTAAGAAGGCAACCAGTAATACATAGCTGGTTTGGGAACGCTCTGCCCTACTAGAATTTTTAATTTAAGCTTTATTTTATTTACTTAGATTGGAGCACTTACGAGAGGTGATAAGATTTTACATGAGCGGGTCCTGAGTTCCTTAAATTAAGCCCTGAACTTTATCCTGTAGGAGGGAAGCGTAGTTGACGGGCAAGGGTTGTTGGCCTACGAAGAGCTCGAAGGCCATTTCTGTTTGCATTGTAAATACGACTCACCCGATGTTGGGGGTGGCTTTCCTCCCTCTTTGCCTTGCTACTCCTATCGTTTTGAAATTCGATTTGCGTTATTTTGGCGCGTGTATTGCTGTTGACACTTGGATTAGGAGGTTAACTGAATGTCAAAAACTTGACAGAGGTTGTACGCAGGAGCAAAGCAGCGGAAGTTGAACTATGTGTCAAATTTGAAATAGTTAGCCCTTTTTCATCATAGCCTTTATGGCGGAAATTTCCCGCCTTTCTCCCCCTTCAAGGAAAAACCTTCGAGAAGCCGGGGTAGGGTTTTTTAACATCCGTTTTTGAGTCGCCATTAGTCTCTTTGGTTGGAAAATTTTTGCCACGTGCGGGAGTGCTGGTGCTGTCCAGGAATTTTGAGCAATTTGCGCTCGCCAGTGGATGGGATTGTCCGGGCAAGCACCGCCCAGTTAGACTCGGTCCAGGAACGACGTCCTGAGGGACATTTGTGAAGGTTCCGGCCAGTCTTCGGATTTGTTCCGGATTTTGGGGCCTAGCTGCGTGCCAAACACATTAGGGTCGCCTGCCACCAGAGTAAGACCAGACTATTTCGATTTCATTACGCTACAACTGTTTTTTCCCTCCTTGCAGGACCCTTTTTTTTTTCCTTTTTCTTTTTGTCTTATCTTCTGACTGCTGTATTGCTTATCACTACGTGATTTTCGCCTGCGAATCTGATCCCTGTTGACCCCCCTGGTTCTTCGACGCCGTGAATTGGAGATCGCTGTCCGTTCGACACTTTGCACCCCCCGGAGCAGCCTGGATTTGCATTTGCCACTTCGAGACTGTCGTCAGACTTCGCCGATAAGGAACAAGGTCAGAGCGTATCACGCAGTTGATGTAGTTGACATCGTGGCAGTAATTCTATTGATAATTTAGTTAAGCAAGTTTCTTTTTTTTGTTGTCCGCTCTGTAATGTAATCGGGTGCGTACGTATTCGTCTAGGACTTACGCGAATTGCGCCTGCGGAGTTTGATCAAACGGCCTATGGTGAAGCGTAGTAATGGTAGTCGTACCGATTACAGTGGCGGCGAGTCGGAATAAGATTGCAAGTACTTAATTTAAATTTCACCTTGTCAGACGCTGCTGTGCTGGCGTTTACTATTTACTTAATTATAATTAATTGATTATTTTTTTTTTTTCCTTTTTCTCAATATACAACTCACACCCACATTTCTTTTTTTACCCGATAGTTCAGGTCGGCTCGAGAAGTGCTTTAGGTCCAAGCACTTCCCACCACCGTTTTGCCGGAGGACCTTGGCGCCCAATTAGAGATTAAGTTACGTATCGTTTTCCCCTGATTCAGGCCAAACCTAATCAACCCTCGGCCCCTGAGCGTAACAATAGCCGGCACCAATTGCCACCAGCTGGCCCTGAATCGGATTCGACCTTTTGGTTAAAAATCGTGTGGCAATTTTGGCGCCCAACGTGGGGCCCTTGATTCACAGGGTGTTCGATTAAAAGGACACTCGACACGAGATTTTGAAATTTGGATTTCTTTTTTTTGTTTGTGCGGTGTGAGTTGTTATTAGAACGGTCGGCGAAAACAGCTAGCGTCTGGTTGAAGTTTTTCTTATAGGTTACGATCGGTCTCGACCTTGATGATGGCGTTGTCGCTGAAATATGAAGTAAATCGGCTGTCTGGGGACGAGCTCGCGTACGAGCTGCTAGTCCGCGGGATAACAGGCGTGGAGACGGTCGATCAGATGAGGAAATCGTTGAGGAGTCTCCTCAAATTGGAGAGGGCTTCTTCCCCGCTAGAGTACCCAGTGTACTCGATCAAGTTCGACGAGGATGTGACGGTTCTGCGGGACAAATCGGTCGAGATACGGGAGTTGTTAGATTGTTTTGAAGGGGAGCGTGACGGGCCGGCGCATTTGAAAATTTTAAGTAAATTGGCATGGGGACTTGGCAGAGCGAATCGGTCGCAACCCAAGTCTCCCGAGGAGAAGTCGGCCAAATCCCTCTTGATCGTCGAACTCCTGAACCTGCACTCGGAGGTTCAGACCAAGATCCGCCGCCGAGAGCGGTCGTTGATCAATCAGTCAGCTGTAATTCCCGACCTCGATATGTTGACATTGGAGAACGAGGGTAGCAGTGAGTCAGAAGTCGAAGACCTGGCTGTCGCGTCACCGGCAGCTCTACCCTTAGCGGACTCCAGCCATGTCGCGCCCAGTCGGTGCGGAAGTTACGCACCAGTCGCCAAATGGAACCTTAAGTTCTCGGGGGACGGGACGGAGATGTCACTGAGTGCGTTCCTGGCGCGAGTGGAGGAGCTGCGGGTGGCCCGGCATCTCAGCAAACGAGATCTGCTGGATGGGGCCATTGATCTGTTAACGGGTCGCGCATTGATCTGGTTTCGGGCAAACCGGAAGCGGGTGGATAATTGGGATGCCTTAGTGGCCCTGTTGCGGCAACAATTCCAGCCCGCTGACTACAACGACCGGTTGTTTGATGAAATTCGGCAACGTACGCAAGGGCCGGACGAACCGATGGGAATCTATTTGGCGGTGGTAGAGAATCTTTTTGACAGACTCACTTACGAGGTCCCGGAATCAACACGCCTCAAAATCGTGTTGCGGAATCTTGACCCATTCTACCAAGGTCAGTTGGGAGTCCGAACCATTAACTCATTCGCGGAACTCTTGGAGTTTGGTCGCATGGTGGAAGCTCGGAGATCCATCATGGAATCGTTTCGGCCCCCAAAGAAGCGTCATTCGCGTAGCCTTTTAGAACCTGATCTCGCCTACGAGGAAGCGGAGCTTGCAAAGCCGTCGAAGGGTTCTCGAAAGCCCGCCGCTGTGGCTTCTACTTCGTCTGCTGCTGCTGGTTCCTCAGCGGGTGTCGTTTGCTGGAACTGTCGGAAATCTGGTCATGTTAAGAGCGCGTGTCAAGCCCCGAAGCAGCTTCGTTGTTACCAGTGTGGCAAGCAAGGGTTTATTTCGAAGACTTGCCCTGACTGTTCGGGAAACGGCCGGAGGGGACAGTAGACGGTTGCAATACTGTATCCCCTTCATCCCCATTTCCCCAGACTTTTGACCGCAACCAACTATTGTTAGATTTCATTCTGCAGCACGCGAAAGGCGACGAACGACCTTATCTAGACGTAACGGTGTTTGGATGTTCTTTCCGCGGTTTATTAGATTCAGGTGCTTCTCGTACTATCGTGGGTGGTCCTGGATGGAAAATACTCAAGTCCTCGGGTATTCGTCTGCATCCGGTTACGTTGGAGTGTACTGTAGCCAACGGGGCTAGGTGCCCGTGTGTAGGTTTTGTTCGCGCTCCAGTACAGCTCATTGATCAGGTGCAGTGGATCGATGTTTTGGTAGTTCCTGAGGTGCCGCATTCGTTGATTTTGGGTGTCGACTTCTGGAAGGCGATGAGGATCGTACCCGACTTGCGACAGAGTGTGTGGCACTTTGCAGCCGAGGATGAGAGTGCAGTTGAGTGCGGTAGTATTCAGGCTGAGAACACCTTGACCCCGGAAGAACGAACGGCTTTAACCACCCTTCTCGATTCTAGGTTGTCGCAGATGGAAGGTCCTCTCGGGTGTGTGAAGGTTGCACAACATCACATCGAATTGTTGCCGGGTGCAACTCCGCTTAAGCAACGTTACTATCCGATTTCTCCGTTGAGGCAGAAGGCAGTGGACGAGGAGTTAGGTAAAATGCTCGAGATGGGCGTAGTCGAGCCTTCCAATTCTGCATGGTCTTCACCAGTTTGTTTAGTGCGGAAGAAGGACGGTAGTTTTCGTTTTTGTGTTGACTACAGGAGGCTCAACGCAGTTACTAAAAAAGACGCCTACCCTTTGCCGTATATTTCCTCCATTTTAGATAGCTTGAGGGACGCAAGATACATCAGTACCATCGATATTAAGAGTGCGTTCTGGCAGGTTCAGCTGTCGCCCGAGTCACGAGAGTACACGGCTTTCACGGTACCAGGCCGTGGGTTGTTTCAGTTTCGGCGCATGCCTTTTGGTCTCACTGGTGCTCCTGCCACTTGGCAGCGGATTGTGGATCAAGTGATCGGTGTTGACCTCCAGCCTTATGTGTTTGTTTATTTGGACGACGTTGTTCTGGTCTCTCAAGATTTTGAGACACATTTGTCGTTGTTGAATCAGGTTTTTGATCGCTTGCAGAAGGCTGGAATGTTAGTTAGTATCGAAAAATGTCAGTTCTGTCGTCCCCAGTTGAGATATCTAGGGTATGTCGTGGATCAATATGGATTGCGTCCGGATCCGGAGAAAGTACAGGCCATTGTGGACATTCCTGTTCCTAGGAACGTGACGGAGGTGCGTCGATTTGTTGGTACGGCTTCATGGTACCGGAAATTTGTACCAAACTTTTCCTCGGTGCTGGAACCCCTGGGCCAGCTGACGCGTAAACGGGTTCATTTCAACTGGACACCGGAGTGCGATGACGCATTTCGGAAGGTAAAAGAGTCTTTGGTCACCGCCCCAATTTTGAGTTGTCCCGATTTTAGTCGCGAGTTCGTGCTCCAGTGTGATGCTTCGGCGTTTGGGGTTGGCGCGGTTTTGAGTCAAAAATTTGAGGACGGTGAAAAGCCTATTTGTTTCATCTCCCGTTCACTTTCCCGGGCTGAGCGCAATTACTCGACCACGGAGCGAGAGTGTCTTGCGGTGATTTGGGCGGTAGAAAAGTTGAGGCATTATTTAGAGGGTGCTCGGTTCACGGTTATTACCGACCATTATAGTTTGCTTTGGCTCCACCGTCTAAAAGACCCGCAAGGTCGCCTGGCTCGATGGGCGTTGAGACTCCAACCGTACGACTTCACCATTGTGCATAGAAAAGGGAAGGAGAACGTGGTACCTGACATGCTGTCGCGTTCCGTGCCAATCTCCCTAGATTCCGTGGACGCGGTTTCGAATGATTTTCGGGCGACCACCGATAAGTGGTATCAGAAGATGTTGATTTCGGTCGTCGAGAATCCTGGGAAGTATCCGGCCTACCGTGTGGAAAACGGGCTGCTGTATAAGTACATCAAATGCAGTCTCCCTGAGTTCTATGGGGAGTCCGATTTTTGGAAACTGGTGGTGCCGAAGGATCATCGGAAGTCGATTTTGGAGCGTTGTCACGATATCCCCGCCGCTGGTCACGTGGGAATGTTTAAGACCTTTTGGAAGGTTCGCCAACAGTATATCTGGCCGAAGATGCAGGCTGACATAGTTCGATATGTCAAAGGATGCCGCACCTGTGCGAGATATAAGGTGGAACGGAAAGCACCAGCCGGGTTAATGGGAGGCAGACCGACTATCACGGCTCCTTGGCAGTTGATTAGCCTAGACTTTATTGGACCCTTTCCACGCTCAACGCAGGGTTATACGTACACGCTTGTGGTAACTGACCACTTCACCAAATATGTTTTGTTGTTTCCGATTCGGACCGGCTCAGCCAAGATTCTGTCCAGGTGTGTCGAAGAAGGAGTGTTTTTAGTATATGGTGCCCCAAAGTACCTAGTTTGCGATAATGGCACGCAGATGCGCAGCAGGGAGTTTCGTAAACTCTGTGAGAGTTACGGAGTCACGTTGTCGTATACCCCTTTGTATTACCCGCGATCTGATCCGACGGAACGGGTAAATGGTGTCGTGAAGACAATGATCGCAACGACCGTGAAGAAAGACCATCGCCATTGGGCCGACAATCTCGCCGCAATAGGCTGCGCCATTCGATCTTCCCGACACGAGACTACAGGCTATAGTCCATATTTTGCCAATTTCGGGAGGGAACACAAACTTTTCGGGACTGACTTTGATAACTCGGTATCGGAGCCTGGAAGCGACTTGACGAGTCAGATCCGCAAAAGGCAAGCAGGATTCGAACGGCTGTACACGAACATCGTCGCGAAATTGAGATCTGCCTTCGTCCGCAACAAGCATGCTTATGATCTCCGGAGGAGGCCAGTGCGGTTTGAGGTTGGGCAGGAAGTATGGCGCCGCGACAAGAGTCTTTCCGACGCTGCCGCTCATTATGCTGCGAAGCTGGGTCCGAAATTCGTCGGGCCGTTTATAATAGCTCGGAGGGCTGGAGCCTGGACATATGAGCTGACAGACGAACATGGTCATGGGAAAGGTGTCTGGCATGTTCAGGACCTCAAGCCGGTAGCCGAACCTTATGATGACGCTGGTTAGTTTCGAAGTGGTTAGCTCTGTCGATGGGGCTAAAGACTACGTCGATCATGGGTCGCCATGGGCGGTAAAAGTCCGCCAAGAGCCAACGGTAAGACTGGTGTTTCCATCGAGATATCCGGGTTCGGTTAGCGTAGTTTTTGACATTGCAGTTTCGGTTTTCGTTGAGTTTAGTTAGCGAGTTTGATGCGAGCCACCCCGGAATCGATCAGTCTATTCTTGCTATACATTGGATTTGGACTTTATCTTATTTTTTTTTTCCCGGATTCGACTTAATTTTTTTTTTTCCACCCGATTGTGAGGCCCGGTAGAGGTCGCAAATCCTGCCGTTTTGGAGCAGGTGGGGAAGGATTCCTAGTGGGGCGTCGACGGTGGACGCGACCATTGTTGTGTATATTTGTTCTCTGGTGGATGTTTCTTCTTTTCTTTGTGATGCCGCATGTAGTGGGGGACGGCGCCACTGCAACCCATTCCTGAGGGGATGGGCAGGGGCGACGTCGGTCTTTTTCGGACGTGTAGGTCGTACATGACGGTCGCGCGTACTAGGTATCCTGCCTCGAGTTTTTTTCTTTCCTTAAGTGCTTTTGGGTCGTGGGTTCGGACACGTTCGTCCTAGGGAAGTTATTTTGAGTGGTGACCCGCCTGCGGTCCCTGTTAGTTTTGTCGTTAGTTCGACGTGTTAGGTTTAGGTTAGTTAAAACAAAATTTTATCCTTTTTGGCATTTTTCTTAGAATTTCTATTTAACCTTTAGTTTTCGTGGGATTTGGGGTATAAGGAGCTTGTTTGGAAGGACGGTGGCGTTCTGAGGATTCCGGTTGCGAGGGATGGATTTCGAACGGTGGCGTCGACGAGGGTTCCCAAGGATTGCTGAGTGCGCAACGGCGCGATGTTAACACCCATTCGCGACGCGCGTGGGAACCTCTTTTGAAGGCGGAACCGGTTCGAGATGCCGTTTCGCTGCCGGAGAATTGGTCGCTACCGGTTATACATGCTCCACCCGTAACTTTTACTTAGTGGCTTCAACGGGCTCATCTTCAACTAGATCCGCTCGTAAATTTGTTAGAAAATTTACGTATTTTAGGGAGGGGGCATTGTCACGGTTGAGTTTTGACTTCCGTGATAAGCCACATTTCTTCTCTCCTTCGCCTCTTCATGTACGGTAAAGCGCGCCTGTAAGAAGGCAACCAGTAATACATAGCTGGTTTGGGAACGCTCTGCCCTACTAGAATTTTTAATTTAAGCTTTATTTTATTTACTTAGATTGGAGCACTTACGAGAGGTGATAAGATTTTACATGAGCGGGTCCTGAGTTCCTTAAATTAAGCCCTGAACTTTATCCTGTAGGAGGGAAGCGTAGTTGACGGGCAAGGGTTGTTGGCCTACGAAGAGCTCGAAGGCCATTTCTGTTTGCATTGTAAATACGACTCACCCGATGTTGGGGGTGGCTTTCCTCCCTCTTTGCCTTGCTACTCCTATCGTTTTGAAATTCGATTTGCGTTATTTTGGCGCGTGTATTGCTGTTGACACTTGGATTAGGAGGTTAACTGAATGTCAAAAACTTGACAGAGGTTGTACGCAGGAGCAAAGCAGCGGAAGTTGAACTATGTGTCAAATTTGAAATAGTTAGCCCTTTTTCATCATAGCCTTTATGGCGGAAATTTCCCGCCTTTCTCCCCCTTCAAGGAAAAACCTTCGAGAAGCCGGGGTAGGGTTTTTTAACATCCGTTTTTGAGTCGCCATTAGTCTCTTTGGTTGGAAAATTTTTGCCACGTGCGGGAGTGCTGGTGCTGTCCAGGAATTTTGAGCAATTTGCGCTCGCCAGTGGATGGGATTGTCCGGGCAAGCACCGCCCAGTTAGACTCGGTCCAGGAACGACGTCCTGAGGGACATTTGTGAAGGTTCCGGCCAGTCTTCGGATTTGTTCCGGATTTTGGGGCCTAGCTGCGTGCCAAACACATTAGGGTCGCCTGCCACCAGAGTAAGACCAGACTATTTCGATTTCATTACGCTACAACTGTTTTTTCCCTCCTTGCAGGACCCTTTTTTTTTTCCTTTTTCTTTTTGTCTTATCTTCTGACTGCTGTATTGCTTATCACTACGTGATTTTCGCCTGCGAATCTGATCCCTGTTGACCCCCCTGGTTCTTCGACGCCGTGAATTGGAGATCGCTGTCCGTTCGACACTTTGCACCCCCCGGAGCAGCCTGGATTTGCATTTGCCACTTCGAGACTGTCGTCAGACTTCGCCGATAAGGAACAAGGTCAGAGCGTATCACGCAGTTGATGTAGTTGACATCGTGGCAGTAATTCTATTGATAATTTAGTTAAGCAAGTTTCTTTTTTTTGTTGTCCGCTCTGTAATGTAATCGGGTGCGTACGTATTCGTCTAGGACTTACGCGAATTGCGCCTGCGGAGTTTGATCAAACGGCCTATGGTGAAGCGTAGTAATGGTAGTCGTACCGATTACAGTGGCGGCGAGTCGGAATAAGATTGCAAGTACTTAATTTAAATTTCACCTTGTCAGACGCTGCTGTGCTGGCGTTTACTATTTACTTAATTATAATTAATTGATTATTTTTTTTTTTCCTTTTTCTCAATATACAACTCACACCCACATTTCTTTTTTTACCCGATAGTTCAGGTCGGCTCGAGAAGTGCTTTAGGTCCAAGCACTTCCCACCACCGTTTTGCCGGAGGACCTTGGCGCCCAATTAGAGATTAAGTTACGTATCGTTTTCCCCTGATTCAGGCCAAACCTAATCAACCCTCGGCCCCTGAGCGTAACAATAGCCGGCACCAATTGCCACCAGCTGGCCCTGAATCGGATTCGACCTTTTGGTTAAAAATCGTGTGGCAACATCTTAGTCAGATTGTTTTTACATGCATAATGCGCCAACGACTGACCTCTCGAATTTGGCACATCAATGCTAAACTCAGGCAAATCTAATGCAAAAGTCAAAATTTCGTCAATTTCTGAATCCAAAACTAAAAGTTCGTCTACACAGTCCCATTCAGACTGATTTCGTTTATCTGAAAATAGTTTTTTTAATATTCTCGCCGATCTGTTAAAAAGAGCCAAAGCTAAAACACTTCTTGGATTAATATTATTGTAAGTGCTTTTTAAAGGAATGGAATTTTCAATACACTCAAAAATAATTGGAAAATCAAACCTAATTGTATAATACAAAACTGCTGCTAAATATTCCGCGGCAAACTGATTACCGTCATACAATGGAATCAAAAATGGTAAGAAAATCATCAATTTTTTAAAACAGACATTATTTGATGCGCCAAACTTATAAAATTTTGGACCTACATCACGATAATTTAAATCCTTGACAAGTTCTTTATTATTATTAATTATCCACTCCTTGTCAAAATTCTGGTAATTCACAAGAATATTATTTTTAACCAGTGGATAACTCTTATTCCACGCGCAAGCCACTTCCAAAATGTCACGACCAATGATATCTTTTTCAAGTAAATCTGCATCAGTAAATTTTTCTAGAATTGTAAGATTTTTATATATAACACCTACTAAACATTTAGAATTTCTCGATAACATTAAATCTAAAAAAAATCGGATGTTTTTAAATCGACTGTCAGAAATAAATTTTTTGTCGCGTGCTTTAGAAGCTTCCTGTTCAAATAAATGCAAAGCTGCAAAATATTCACCGTACGAATTGTGAGTGAAATCAACGTCATATTTAGATATAACGCGGCTTATAAATCCCACGTCATCACCTTCCTTTTTAAGTTTTTCTAGAAAACTGTCAGTTGTTTTGTCGTAACGAAATAAGGTATTGGCAATTTTGCTTATAAAAGAGTTATAAAGGTAATAACTTGCAGCTAAGCTTTTATAATGATTCATTTTAGTGTTTTTTTCTTTTTCAAAATTCTGGATATTTTGTTCATTTCTTAAAGTAATTTCTTTCTTGTCGTTGTATAAAACATGAAATTTTTCATCAACAAAATGTTCGTATAGATCAAGAACAGTGAAAATGCCGTCTAACAAATGTAGGTATTTGTCTCTGTCTGTTAAAAACAATTCTGTAAGCATATAAATTTGTAGAGGAATGCCCAAAATTTCGTAATTTGGAAAAGACATTATGTTTTTTCTTATTTTATTAAAAGTTTCAGTTAACTCATCTTCGGTAATCCGTAAACGGTTTTTAATATATTCTTGTTGTTCGGTCTCACTAAACTGTTTTATATTTCGTGCAAACATACCTAACTTGGTTTCTAACAAATTTTTCAAATTGTTTCGAGACGTTAGCCATTGCTTCAGGCCTTTTTCCGAAAAAGTGGTTACTAACATCATAATAGAAGCTTGAGTGGTGTCAGATGCTTCATCAATTCCATCCCATACTAGTTGTATTTGGTTTTGTTCCAACATTGATTTCAACACCTTTTGGTGGAACGAGTTTGTACATTCCTTAAAAGTATCTTCTAAGATATATTCACAAAAATTCTCCACGCTTGATCCATGTTTCCTGAAGTGTAAGGCATGATTTCTAGCGTAGATTAAGATGACCCACGTTGACGAACAGCTGCTATTTTTTAAACTCTTCATTAATGTACTTTTTCCCATACCAGGGTCGGCACAGATAATGTTGATATTTTGCCGCGACTGACTGAAGTATTCTTGTTCGCGTATAGTGTATTCCATAAATTCACTTTGTAGACGAAACCTCTCAAGTTCGTCAATGTATCGTCGTTCCGGACCATAATTCACACTTTCTATCCATTCCAATCGATGATTGTCTAAATATCTGAAGTGATGAAATAAAACTTCTGAGTTTTTTTCGCACAGCGCAGAAAATTCCTCCCGCAAAATTTCGCTTCCACTAATGTAGATTTTTTGATCATGAATTGTGTTCTGGATAAGTCCAATATCATTCACTTCGCTAATTACTAAATTTGGTAACATTGTTTTAAAATAATCAACATCTGTTACGCAGTCAACTAAAGCAGCTGTATTTCGATCGAAGGTTTTCAAAAATTTCACATCTATTAAAATTTTGGTCAACTTTCTTTCGATATGACTGGGTGGCAGAGCATCTTTGTATTTTCCAATCAAGAGTGGAGCTTCCATCATTTCGACGAAATCATCGGTAGTGATAAAGTTGGCGTTATCTTCGCAGATTTCTAACAAATATTTAAGTTCAACGTCTTTTTGACCTTCTAATGAATAGGTAAAATTCGTTAAGATTTCTGCATAGAACTGTGCGTATTCGTTTAAATCTGACAACTTTTGAAATATGTGATACTGATCCGCAACACCGTGGTTAAACGTTTCTCGATTATCTAATATAATTAGATTTCGAACTTGACATATTTTCATTGCTTGATACACTTCTGAGCATCCTTCAACGACCAACGGACTTTTTCCCAGTAACCACAGGAGCTTCGACACTTTCGTTTCGTCCTTATTATAGAGGCTTTCCTTACTTTCTATCCTGTCATCTATAAGTTGATATAAGTTATTAACTTTAATCGTTTCTTCCATATCATCTATACCGTCAACAGCATTTGCCCAAAGTGAGTCGATTTTTTCAAAATTCTTTTTATTTATAACAGTCAAGTCAAATTTCGAAACAGCTTCTCTAAATATTGTTCTTTTGGTGTCACTTGATCCACCGGCAACAAAAGATAACGGCTTGATAAAAGGTGCAAATGCACAAAGTGTTATCACGTCCTTTATAAACGTTTTATTTAAAGCGATTTTTTCCCCTTCCTTCATACTCCATTGGTTTATAAAATGTACATACTCGCGAAAAGTGATTTCGCTACTACTAAAATATTTTTTGAACATTTCGAATGTACACTTTTCAAGTTCTTTGACATGTGGTTGATCACTATAGAAATATAAATTTTCAAAAAATTCTTCATATTTCGGCAAATTAGGTTCACTTGCTTCAAATTTATGACACTGTCCTCTCGATTTTGAAATTCTTAGCACGCTATCTTGATCACACTGGACCAATTTTCCAAATTTTAACCGATCGATATGTTCATTATTTAACTTAGAATTGGTAAACAAAACCATCTTGATAGGCCGCTCAGATAACTTTGGTTCATTTTTGAAGTTTTCGTAATACTTGTCGAGACTAAAGTTTCCAGATGATGCGTTTAGCTGCTCAATTTTTATTCTTGGTGCTCTCTTGATGTGTTTTAACTGAACGGCGAACGTTTCTGTGCGATTTTTAAAGTTAATGTCAACTACAACGTCGTCGAAAGATCCATATTGATTATCGTTTGATGACAAATTAAAATCATCCACGTCATCGTCAATTACTAATTTTAAAACTAAATTCGCTATGTAGAGATGTTCGTAGTCTTTGCCTACGTCCGTGGTACCTGTTCTCTTCTTAAACATCTGAAACTAATGTATAATTAATTTATAATGCATTTTTTTATCAAAGGGGTTCAAGCTCAACAAAAATATGTATCTTTTCAACCGTTTTTAATACAACATACATTAACCATTTTTAAAAAGCTTTCATCAAAATTTTATCTGTTGCTGTAAATCATATATATTTATAGTTGGAGGTACAGATGGTTGCCTATACTGATGAATGGAAATTATTATTAAATGAGCTTTTTATGCGTCGAGGTATACAAAATGAAATCTGTTGTATTATCAGGTTATCAAGGATACACCGGATACACGTATCACGTAATGTATTGACCAAAGATATTGTATTACTAGACCATACCGATGCTCTTTTGTTTGTCACACACAAAAACAATCGAAAAACGCTACATAAAAATTCGACAGAATTTCCCTCGCCCCTGAAATACAATAAAACGGGTCCAGTTTTTTCGACAAAAATTAAAAAATTTTGCCCTTTTTATTTTTTCTATGAGAATCCCAGTAGGTTAAAATAAAGATATGTATATATGTAATGTCAAAGTAAATATAAAGAAGCGTGCTACACATGATGACGTCATCAACATTTTTGCAAGGACACGTATATTAATTTGAGTATGTGCAGTGTATTACTAATGTAGGTAAGCGAAGAAAAATGTTCCTTCTCCGATGGGAATCGAACCGCACGTTTACCGCTTGCCGGGCGGGTACCCTTACCACTAGAATACGGAGGAGCTTATCTTTCTTCGCTTACTACTACGTATTATTTTGTAGCCACACTAATAATAACAGAAATAGATCAAACCTTTACTGATTTAGAGGTCTATTTTGTAACTCTTAACGATCTCGTTAGAGCATCGTTAACTTACGATAATCGTTCCCATAACGATTTTGGGACTGATAGCGATTTTGTAACATCTATCGTCTCGTTACATAGCGATCGTATCGTTAGAATGTCATCGTTCCGGAACGATAGGTTTCAGCTCACCGTTAGAAGTGTCAGAACACGTTAGAAAAGTATTTATACAATGAAGGGGAACGTTTTGGTGCAAATATGGGTAGAGAAGGTAAATGTAAGTAATTAATGTATGTTTGGATTAGGTTGATAACTTATTATATATTTTTTTTACTGCAGAGACAGAATCAGAAATTTGTCTCGGGTCTTAAGAGATGTAAACGACCCCTTGATCGTTCAAGAAGAAACCTTTAGGAAGACCTACCAACTGTAATGGGAAGCGGCGAGAGATACATTTCCAGAAATACTGCCGCAGAGTTCTGTATTATTCACCAGATGTTGCAGGAAAAATTACATACTCATGTGCTGTTTCACACAATCTTACGCATAAGAAATATCGAAAATGACGAGATCAATATTGTCTATGACAAGGAGAACGATAATAATGAAGAACTTGAATACGAAGAACACAATTTACTACATGAATGGCATATCACAAGAAATAATTTAATAATACAGCATTTTCAATAATGTATTTATTTTTTTTTTTACAACATAATGAAATTATTTTAAACAGTTCCTCTTTCACATAGTCTTAAATTTCTGGTCTTCTTTCAAACATTGAATTTCCAATCTACAAATCTCTGGAACACACAGTGACGTTTACTTACCAGGCAGTACATTGTAATTAGAGTGCCCTATGTTATATTCTTGGTGTACTAAAAAACACAGAGGTTATTGTTTATTGTGTAACAGTATTTATAAAGATTAAACATCTCAGTTCTCATAATTGATTGGTCATGACTAAACAAGATGTTCACTTTGTCATAACCAAAGTGTTGATGTAAGCAGAATAATTGCTAATAGTTGTACGATAAATTATAGTAAAGTACACATTTTTAAAAAGAGTGTTCGGGAGATTCATTAATTACACATACCTCTCTGAACTGCTGAACACTTTTTCGTGGTCCTCCCACAGAATTTAGTTTTGCTACCAACCCTTCCCATATCTTTTCTAAAAGATCTGGCTTGTCCGCTACGAACTTTTGGGCCCTAAAATCTGCATTACCTTCTAACTCCTCCACATACAACTCATGTTACTCTTGGGTAATACGCTGGGCCCTTTTACGTTTTTCCATTGCTCCCGTGAACGTATTGTAAACTGAATTTCGTGTTAGTGTGATTATTTTGATGTTTTTCTTTTATAATTATTGTTTACTTACATGTTATAAGTTCACAAATTTGTCCAAACTTCAATCAGTAGCAAAACAAATGTCACATGTCACAACAGAGAACAACGTAATCTAGACGCTACACAAATTTAAATACTACCGATTCTAAAAACATTTGATTCATCGTTCCGCTAACGATTTCAAAGCTGTACGATTACGATAGTGTTTATAAAATTGGAAATTTGTACAATCTCGCTAACCTGATTTTACGATTGCTTCTAACGATTATCGTTTGGGAGCGAGATCGTTCTGGAGCGATAAATTACAAAATAGACCCCTTAATCATTAAAATAAATTGACGCATTCATTCATTTTTTTTAGTTACCCTGTATAATTGGTTTTAAAAAATATAAATTCTATAAAGTCTATACAAATTACTAGTATAGACTAATCATATTTTGCACATTTTAGATAAGATTAATTCGGCACAATTTTGAAATGACGCTACCAATTTTTTGGAGGGTATAAACAGATTTTGATTACAAATTTACTATCCCTACGATAATTTTAAAACGTCTGCAAAGCATTCGGTTATAATTAATAAATTAACCAACCATCTTGGCATTGTCTAGACAAAACTAAACTAAAATGATAATTATGTTTTGGCTAATAGCTAGATAGGGACGACATCAAGGTCCAGCGTTAACGATTTCCAAAGTCCGTAAGTTTGAATTTAAAATTTACTTCGTTTGAGCTTAAGGTATCTCATCAATTTCAGAACTCAAACATTTCTGTTTTGTGGAAAGCCTCGTGTGGTGTTCCGTTTTGAATTTAAATTTCGCGCTGAAAGAATTTGAAAAGAACGACGCAAAACCGCACTTAAACATTTATGAATAAGAAAATCGTTCAAACTTAGGTACTTAGAGCGGCATGTTGAAAGCGTGGGTCATTGTTTTTTTGGTTAGGTGACGTGCGGGTGCATGGTAAAAAGACGCTGTAAGTAGCTAGGTTAAATTAGTTAAAAAGTAAACTCGCTCTTTCATATTTTTATGTGTTTCATTTGCCATGTTTTATATGTGGGTGAATAAATCATAGGGGGTTTTTAGAGCTGCAAAGCGATTGCGATTCGGGTCCCATTGGACAGCCTGAGGGCACGTCACGAGTCGCCCTCGCTCGCAACTTCTTTTCTTCCTAGAGAGGGGTGCGATTTTTACCCCCTCCCAAAAATTTTGTCTATTATTTCTTGCGCCCTCTACTCGCACGCAGTGTATGCTCACTTGTATGAAAGAACGTCCTCCCGCCATTAAAAAAAAAACACAACGTAGGTTCTCTTTTGTCAGATGATCACAGCCAAGGCCAAATTTTGAATTTTGAATTTTTCGCGGGCAGTGTTCTGTTGCTCAAGTCGGATAATATCAACTTAGTTCTATCTGGATGAAAATTATAAAACAGTAATTTCCTTATTAATATCTGATGTGAAACGCAATCAAACGCTTTACTGTAGTCTAAAAAATAACTAAAATAAATTTGTTGATGTTCGAAACAATCAATGATTTTATTAAGTAAGTTTATTACAGCTGTTGTTGTTGAGTATCCTTTTCTGAAGCCAAATTAAGGTGGAGATAATATATTGTTTATTTCTAGAAAATGTTAAATTTGTCCAAGCAGCAGTATTTCAAACACCTTAGAAAGTATAGGTAGCAACGAAATTGGTCTGAGGTTATTTTTGTCATTACCATCTCCTTTTTTATAAACTGGTAATACGTATGCAATTTTCAAACAAACAGGGAATGTTTTGTTATCAATACAAGAGTTTATCAACTTTGTAAGCGGAGGAATTATGTTTCTTTAACAGCTCTTAAAATTCCAGTTGAAATGCCAAAAATGTCCTTAGAATTACTATTTTTTAAACTATTAATAGCTTTTCTTACATCAGTCTGCAAAACATTTGTAAATAGAAATATATTTTTGCCACCTGTATTATTTACTTTCATTATGTTGTGACGGGCTTGGGAGATTTTCAAAATTAAGTTTTGTTAATTTATTATATATAAAACTGTAAAACTTTTGTCGTGGACCTTGTGCCCGACATATAGTGAAAATATTATTTATTTGTTCGTAGGCTGGTTCGTGATGATGGTAACACATTCTAGTGACTGGACAAAGGGACTACTTCAAGTATATGCATTTTGCTTAAATGAATAATTATATTTAATTTAGAAATGAATCTGTACAAAAGAGATTTAGTCATATGAGAATAATTTGGTATAACAATAAATTGTAGTGTAGTTTAATATGCAAATATAATTAACAGAAAATGAACTTCAGTACTGAAACATTTTTAAATAAATCCAAGAAAACCTTATAACTTTGAAACTAAATCTTTGAAAGCATTATAAAACAAACATTTAAAAAAATTGGTCTAAAGAGTTTAGACAGTACTTCCCTCGCTGTCGGAAACTTGACGACTGCATGCCTATTGTGTTTTTTTTCTCATTACATTTTTGTAGTCGGAATTTAAAAAAAAATTGCGATGACGTCATCAACATTTTTGCAAGGACACATATATCAGTTGGGATAGATGTAGTGTAATACTAAGAATAAAATTATTATATTCTCAAATTTTCGGGAAAATGAATTGGGTCGTTTTGAATATTGATTTGTAATAATCAATAAAATAACGAAACAATACGTATCAGAGGCAACTGAAAGTCGTGTATGTATAAACATTCTTAATTTAAGATGACAGGCGTAACAGCATACGTGAGAGTCAAACAGAGAAACTGTAAACAAAACGACCATCGGTTTTATTGCTTCGACTTCCGCTTATTATATAAAACATTGGGTTTTATTTTAATTCTTGACGGTGAAATTCACAATTGGTTGATTATAAACATGTCTATTTCACATTCGCGGAACCAAGTGAACGCATAAAACAAATGCAGGTCTGTAATGTTAAAGTCGATGTAAATAAGCGTGCTACCCTTATGTTTCAACCGAGTTTTTCCTTTAACAAATTTTGTGTCTACCAAATTGGGTTCGTTGGGGTGTAATACTAATAATAAGTGTTGCCTTTAATTTAATCAATAAAATAAATTGACTTCATTAATTTTTTTGAACCACCTCTTAAGAAAATCTAAAAAATTAGAATGGAATGATAAATCACAAGTACAAACTCATCATATTTTTTGCATTTTAGATAGGATTTATTCAGCAAAATTTAAGGGTGACGTCATCAATTTTTTTAGGAGGGATGAACAAATACATTTTGAACAAAAATTTACCATGCTTATAATAACTTTAAAATATTCCCAAGATTTTAAAGCATTCGGTTTTGTAATTCCTGATTAAATCGATAAAATAAATTCACGCCTTCATTAATTTTTTTGAGTCACCCTGCATATGCAAATCCAAAAATATGAATGGAATGATAAATCACAAGTACAGACTCATCATATTTTGTACATTTTAGATACGATTTATTCGGCAAACTTTTGAGCTGACGTCATCAGTTTTTTGTAGAAGATAACCAAATATATTTTGACTAAAAATTTATTATGCTCTTTATAACCTTAAAACATCTGCAAGATTTCAAAGCATTCGGTTTTGTAGTTCCTGATTAAATCAATAAAATAAATTTACGCATTCATTAATTTTTTTGAGTTACCCTGTATATGCAAATCCAAAAAATATGAATGGAGTGATAGATCACAAGTACAGACTGATCATATTTTGTACATTTTAGATATGATTTATTCGGCAAATTTTCGAGCTGACGTCATCAAGTTTTTGGAGGGGATAAGCAAATATATTTTGACTAAACATTTATTATGCTCTTTATAACCTTAAAACATGTGCAAGATGGCAGAGCATTCCGTTTTGTAGTTCCTGATTAAATCAATAAAATATATTTACGCATTCATTAATTTTTTTGAGTCACTCTGTATATGCAAATCCAAAAAATATGAATGGAGTGATAAATGACAAGTACAGGCTCATCATATTTTGTACATTTTAGATATGATTTATTCGGCAAACTTTCGAGTTGACGTCATTAAGTTTTTGGAGGGGATAAGCAAATATTTTTTGACTAAAGATTTATGATGCTCTTTATAGCCTTAAAACATCTGCAACATTTCAAAGCATTCTGGTTAGCAGATTAAAAATTAAATTTCAAAATGTTGTTTTATAATTTTGATTTTTTTTCCAAAAATCTGGACATTTCGGGTGAAACGTCGATTCAGAGTTGTAAACTACATGTGTAGGACTATGTTATTTTATACAATTGAAAACCCATTTACTATGTACAATTTTGAAGTGACGTCATCGCATTAGTGGTGGGGATGATTAGACAAATTTTGGTTAGCGTTTTACCATCTACATGATATTCTTAATATAAGTACAAAATTTTACAACAATCGGTCGAGTACTTTCGGAGATTATCTGTCTAATAAAAATCCGGGACGGCAGACGGACAGACAGACGGACGGACAGACGGACAGACGGACAGACAGACGGAAATGGGAGACCTATTTCTTCGTCTTCTAGGGGTCATGAAAGATCGAGAAAACGTAAAAGTAGAGAGTCGGCCGACGGACTCGATTACAATACTTCCTTTGCTTACGCTCGGGAAGTAAAAAACTAAAACAAAAATATATCAAAACTCAAAATTGGTACCATAACTCAAAATTTGGTAACATAACTCAAAATTTGATAACAACTCAAACATTTGGTAAGGAACATTATAGTAGTTGCGTGGTCAGCGTTCATCAAACAATATAACTGTTTAACTAATAATTTCAATGCAAATTAATCTTTAAAAATAGATATAAATCTCAAAACGTTATCCAATCGAGAATACAACGGGCGATTTATCATCAAAATTAAACTGAACTTTAAAAATATTAATAAAAACAAAACTTTGAACTTTTTATGAAATCGTGGATATTTTTGGAGATGTCAACACTTACCCCCTTGTGTCACAACACAAACACACACTAAACAGGCAACTGGCTAGAGGACTCTGGTCTTTTTTGGATCTTTAAAAATTGTTTACTAGTATTACCAGTTTATTTGGGGAGTCGTAAAAGTATTTGTGTTTCCACCAAATTTAGGCTTAATTAACTGTAATATGAAGATTTTTAGTGGCAAAATGTGCTTTTTGTTAAAATTAACAAATTTAAACCATGAAATTATAAAACTGGACAAAGACATCGTGTCCAGCCAAACGGCGCTAATATTTAACTGTGAAATTATAAACCTTGATTAGAATGGTGTGAAATCATAAAATCAAAGTTTCACAAGGGCAACCTTGATTTTTACGACAATGACGATTGTTCTGATTCATACCAACATTAATCGCCCGTTACAATGTGAATCGGATCAAAATTTAGAGCTGGTAATTTGCTTTTAATTTCGCTAGCTATAGTTGAGAAAAAGCTATTAAATTCATTGGGAGTTATTGCATTTTTACTATTATAATTTTATTGGAGCTTTGGATAGACCGAATGCCTTTTATTACTTTCCATAGCATTCTCGGATTATCTTTATTAGCTTTAATGAATTTATAGCTTTTATTTTTGCTTCTCTAATGGCTAAGTTATATTTCCTTTTAAACTGGTTAAGTAAAGTTTTTAGTTTTAATGTTTCATGTATGATGATAATAAACGTCAGTTATAAATCTCAAGGTTTCTCTCATTTCTCTTAATTTAGAATTAAACCATCTGTCACATATGGCATTAGAACTCTTTTTGTAAATTTTTTTTTAAGGGAAAAGATACATTATAGTAATGTATTATTATATATAAAAATTGTTTAAACTTGAGCTGTACATCTAAATCTATATCAATAACGGTCCAGTCTAAATTAATAAGATACTGAAAATAATAAAATTTACCAATATTTGCAACAGGCCTCGATATCTTAATTATGTTAGAACACGTTATTATTGGTTAAAATATTTCGTATATCAACAAAAAGTCCCCGATGATCCGCAATATTTAATTCTGTTGGAGTTGCAGAAATTGAATGTGATTCTATATTAGTAAATACATGATCAATACAGGCATTACCACCTGTAGGAAAATTAACTAAGTTATACATATTAAAACTATAGTGGCGTAGCATGTAGCGAATATAAATGATGAATATGACATGTTTTGTCTAGTACTTCAATATCTTTGGTAATGAGTAATTGCAGAGAGAATGGATGTTAAGTACATAGTCATTGGTAATTGGTTTTTGAATTAGTAAATAACATTGGTGTCTAACTTACGGGGGAAGGGTTTTCAGGTACTGAGTCTCTTTCGTCGCTATTTGTTCCTATCGAAGTCTATAAATATAATTACAAGCAAGTTATTATAAAATAAAAGTATATTTCATCACTTACCGTTTCCATGTTTAATTCGAAAAGAATTAATCGGAATGCAACACTGTGATGTGGAATGAATGGACTTCCTGTTATTTGCGAATTTGCGACACTAACAGAGAATAGATAACAAATTGTTATCTTTTCTATGACACTATCTCTTTCCCAGTCTGTCTATTGGTGTAACTAGTTACTACTCATTCTCTGGGAAATCACATGTATTAGTTCGTAAATTGTCGGCGAGGTCGCTGTGTCGAAGCGCTACAGTTTCCGACACCGCGTAAATTAAATTTGAAATGAAAAGGAGCACAAAGCAAATATGCGTTCGGTGTGGGATTCAAATACACGTTTTATGAACTCTTAAATCAGTACTGATGCGTTGACCACTCGACCGTTCTAATCCCGTAATTATTAAAGGAAATAATTCGTAAAATAAAAGTATAAATCAAGCTTTTTCGGTTGGGGTTCATTAGATTGTATACAGAATGTTGACTATACTAAGTTGAACTAAAATAGTGAATGATAACTACCTCTGTTTTCGTATTTTGAGAAAAACGTGATACATTTTTTATATTTTCTGTTACCATGTATAACATAACATAACATAACATATTTATTTGTACATATAAACATATAACACTGTTTTTGTACACGTCAACATACAACAAAACAAATTTTTTACAATATCTACATGGAATTTGTGTAAGGCAAGACCTAGTAACGTCCAACAAAAACCTCCACATATAACTATTTAAGATCGACACATACTTTATAAATGAATAGGAGGTGTTTGTTTGTATTCATCCACCGAGTAAAAATTGTGCATTTTACAATGTTTCGTTATTTTGTGTTTGAACGTTGTCAGTGGAAGGTTTTTGTATGATTCTGGGAGATTATTATACATACTTATGTCCAAGGAGTTTTTAATGGATTTTGTGAATTTGTATTTAGCAGTTTTGATGTGCTGAGCTTGCCTAGTATTATACGAATGAACATCTGAATTTTTAACCATCGTTTTCTGCTTCTTATGGATTTCAATTAGCATACTAATGATGTAAAGACACGGAAATGTTAAGATGCCGTATTTTAGGAACAAGGGCTTGCAATGGTCACGTAAGCTGGCATTTGCAAGAATTCTGACCGCTCGTTTTTGGAGTCGGAATATTTTAATCGCATAACTACTACTTCCCCAAATCAATATACCATACATAAGACGAGACTGGAACAGAGCGTGATAGGCTGAAAGGAGTAAATTGAAGATCAGTAAGGGTCGTAATTTTCTCAGGAGAAAAATGGTGCTAGCTAATTTAGAAGAAACTTGGTTGATGTGTGCTTGCCAGTTTAAACCATCGTCTATCGTTATACCTAGGAGTTTAATATTTTTTCCATTTAGCAAAGTGGGATTTGTCGATAGGAATAATTCCTGCGTCTTATTCTTGTTAAGACATAGTCCATTTGTATTAAACCAAGTTTCTATATTCTGTTTCCTTTCGTTTATTAGTTCTTTAAGTCTAACTGGATCCTTGTCAGAGACTATACTGGTGGTATCATCTGCAAACAGAATTGCGTCGTCTAAATCGTTTATCATTAACAGAAACAATAGTGGTCCCAGGACGGATCCCTGCGGTACGCCATATTTCACGTTACGATATTGTCACGACTGAGGTGTTCTAAGGGGTTGGTAGAGCGGGGTAAAAAAGCCCAGTTCGTGAGTTTACGTTATTTCTATTGATAATAATTCAAATACAAAAAAACTACTTACTGTTTTGTTGGGAGAAACATGTCACAGGTTCTTTTTCTTTCTCTTGCCACAACCCAACTGCCGTCCACCCGCTCTCGTCAACCCCACGAAGCCCTTGCAGTGTCAGCAACTATCCCTACTGTCTGTATGTGTCGACACTCCATGGCCTCGATGGAATCATATCGCGAGCAAGGTGTTTGGCAATCCCATCGTAACTAGGTTACATATTTATGTGACTGTGACATATCTCCCCCCCTAGAGAACACTGGACCCCAGTGTTCCTTTTGTACAATCTAATCTTAAATACTAATAACAACAATATAAATTTTCTAAGAGTAACAATAATTAAAGCAACCAAATCACAATGATGACAGTTTCCCTGGCCGACTTCTGACACATGGGAGTGGGTGACCCCTCGACCCTGAACACCCGTTCCCCTACGAGCTTATCTGAATTGTAGGTCCAATCGCACAGTCGTGGTGGTAATGCAGCGTGTTGAATATCAGCAGAATGAGCGAACGTACAGAAAATTCCAGTTTTCAGAATCGCGTTGCCAACGTGGACATCCCTTCCAGTGTTATTTCTGAGGCCGATACAGACATCATCGTCGGAGAAGAGGACGCCAGTACACACAATGTTTGAGGCATATCCTCCAATGGCTTTTAAGTCCAGAGAAGAGGTTATCCAGAAGATCACACTGCTGAGAGGCAATGAAGAGGCAATTGGACTTCTTAGTGCTTCGGTTCTGGAAGTTCCGCCACCATGAGACAGCTCGAGAGTACTGAGGTGCAGAGATCTCTGGGGATTACAGCCATCGACTGGTGTTCCCGCCTCCTTTTTGTGCTCGGTTGGATGTAGGGGCCAGGGAGCAACCATTAATCATGAAACAATATGAACCAAAATTATTACTGACTACCTACTAATGATTATCCTAACCCTGATAATTCTTACAATTTTAACTTCTTAACTTAATTATTATATTATCTAAGGAAGTACATTTATTTATTATTATTATTATTAATTAATTTTTTTTTTCCATACATATATATATATATTTTAATTGATCTCTTCACTTGAGATCGTAATTCTGATTTTCCCTATTAAGAGTCGACTTAGAGAGATTTTGTAAAGTATTGTTAGACGTGTTGTTGGACTTGGGGTTGTTAAGTTTAGAAGGCGGATAGTTAGTGACCAATTATAGTTCATGGACTGGTTATTGTAAGTATGTGGGTAGAGAATGGGTGTGAAGCGAATTAAAGACAAAGAATTTTAGCGTCCACCAGGCTGCAGGGATTATATGGTTAACGTACGATATTAGGGCATCTTATCTGAACACGGGAACCCAACTTGTATGATTACTTCTCGCTCATAGTCAAGTGAACATTTAGAGGGAAGTTTGGGTTTCAGTGCTCCGAATAGATTATGGGACGAATGATCCTACCTTTTATTTTTGTTATGATGAATAAGTCTTCCTCAGTTCAGTGAGAATAACTCGGAGGCATGACATTTCTTTGGGCAGTGGTGACTAAGTTCCTCAATCAGTCGTTCCTTAGTAAAATTGGTCCGTGCAGCTTATATTCCTCAAATCTGGGTAGAAAGTCCTAGTTTTTCAATTTGCTGCCAAAAATAGAGTGCCATACTCGATTCAGCAACTTTGATTGCTCCAGCTAAAAAGAACAGTAATAAGTGCGGGTAATGTATTATTAGGATCGGGCCTCATAATTGAAAGTTCGCACGATTAGTGTCCCAAAAGCTCCAGCTGATACTTTGTCTTGTGCCTTCGTGTATGGGATAAGGGCAAACAGACACAGATCCACATACCTACGGAAACGAATATTAATATATTTAATTCTTCTTTTTTTTTTTCCTTAGGATCCCCTACTTTATTCCTTTTAGTCGCCTTTTACGACACGCAGGTAATACGGTTGAGGGATTCTTGTATACCCCCGTCAACAGGGCATATGTTTTTTCGAGCGTTCTTATTTTTCGTCGGATGCGCCGTTTCCCGTCCACGGATCGTTATACGGTAATATCCTCCCCACGTGTACGACTTCTTTTTTAGATCGTTTATCCAATTTTTGCACCTCATAATCAACGTCGCTTAATTTTTTTGTAATATAATATGGGGCAAACCACCGCAATAATAATTTTTCGCTTTTCCCGACTTTTCGAACGGGAGTAAATATTTTAACTTTGTCTCCTACCCGAAATTCTACGTGACGATGCTTTTCGTCGTACCGCTTTTTATCGATGTTTTGTTTTAATCGAATATTATCCACCGCCATGTTCCTAACCGCTAACGCTTTGTCCCTAATATTTATTATATCTAGATTTTCAATATTCTTCCTTAGACTAGTTTCGGACGGAAGTACAGGTTCGCGACCGTAAACTAACATGAAAGGTGATAATTTAGTCGTATCTTGACGAGAGGTGTTATATGCGAAGGTCACGTGTGGAAGAAACTCGTCCCAATCGGTTTGGTTAGTGTTTGTATACATCGCTAACATGTCGGCCAATGTCTTATTAAATCTCTCTGTCAGTCCATTACAGCTAGGGTGATATGCCGTGGTAAATTGACGATTTGTACCCATTATTCTCAACAATTCGCCTATAAGCTCTGATCGAAAATTTGTCCCGCGGTCACTCAAAATGTCTCGAGGAGCCCCGTGTCTCGTTATTATATTCTCTAGCATAAACTTTGCTACTGAGCCCGCTTTGGCGTTTGGTAAGGCTTTAGTTTCCGCCCATCGTGTCGCATAATCTGTCGCTACAATAATAACCGTTTTACCGTTTCGGCTCCTGCGAAAAGGTCCAAGAATATCCACCCCGACCTTCTCAAAAGGAGTCGCTACCGGAATCGGATGTAGTAACCCGGGTGGTTTTTGATTTTGTGCTCCCTTACGTGCCTGACAATCTGGACATCCTTTTACAAATTTTTCTATGTCCGACTGCATTCTATCCCAGTAGTAGCGGCTTTTTATTTTGTGATACGTCTTGGCAATTCCCAAGTGCCCTGCTAACGGTTCTGAATGGTGTGCAAAAAGAATTTCGTGTACGAGATGTTTTGGGATAACTACCAGATCATCGTTGTTAATTGCGGTCGCGTTTTTTTTATACAGAATACCGTTCACCAGTTTAAAATTTTTTGATTTTTTTCTTAAAGAAATGGTTGATGGAGTATTCTCAGGATCTTCAAGTATTTGAATTAGATGCTTCACATCGGGATCTTTGCGTTGCTCAAGAACAAGATCTTGGTTTACCAAGAGGAAAGTAGGTATGTCAAAAAGATCTACTTCGTCTTTGGGCGCCTGAGACACCGGGTTCCGTGAGAGACAATCCGCATCGGCGTGTGCCTTACCGTTTTTATAAACTACCTCATAGTCAAATTCTTCTAATTTGATAGCCCACCGCGTTAGTCTACTCGTTGACTGGTTGGAATTT